CCGCCGGGATCGCCCGCGGCCCGCCCGGCCCGGCGCTGGCACCGGACCCGCCGCAATCCCTGCGACGGGGTGACATCCCACCCCTCCAGGGGGAGGCTTTAACCCTCCTCCCCCCGCCCCGGCAAATGAAGCAGGAGAAGCAGCAGCCTTGTTTAGGACGGGCAGAACAGAGATCAATCAAAACATAACATACCACAAAATAAAACAATAAATCCGCGGGAAGTAGATAGGAGTTTCGTTGAAGAAAGGTGCTGTCTGGTTTTTTGTGAGTTTTCGGAAGGCTTTTTTTTGGAAACCCCCTCGGAAACTGTGAAGAGAAACACTTTCCAAAAGGTGTGTGGGCATCACATGCTGGGGAGTGTTTTGCAGCACTATGGGAATTATAATGAAACCCCACCCAAAAACTGGGCTTCTGATTACAGTTTGTTCCCGAATCAACGTTTTTAAGGGACACAGTGAAGGTAGAAAGAGTGCAATCCAATAAAATGATTAAAAAAAAAAAAAAAGAATAGCAAGTAGTACCAGTTTACTTTGTCTTGGCCATGGAAAAGTTTAAAATTCAGAGAGGCTGTAGCATATGGAGTTACACAGCGTGTGAGAACCATCCATTTGCAGGAGCCGGGCACTGTTCCCCATAGTGATAATCCAAAAACTCATGCAAATTCCTTAAAAAAAAAAGTGGAAGAATCAGCCTAATGAGGCCCTTTACTTCCAAATGGGCTTAAACTGACCATTACACTTCATCAGTCAGTAAATTTTCCTATTTAAAATGATAAACCAGGAAGAATAGCAGCTGAAATTGAAAACTGTGGCTACATTTTGACCACTTGCATTCAGTGAGCAAAAGAAATACATGCAGCTCAAAACCCTATAAAATAATCATGGCAGCTATCACAGTATTCCCAAACGATATATATTCATGTTGTGCCGCACTGGTGAGCTCCATTAGAGTATGTCGTCATTGTCTCCATAGTAACTATATTTCCAAATAGAAAACAGCAAAGGGAAATAAAAAACAATAGCGTAATGTGGAAAAACAGATACACACTTGTGCTATGGATTTTTATTTGCCCCTTCTTTTTTTTTTTTTTTAGGAGAACATTTATCTCAACTGCATCTTTATCACCCATGACACAGCTCCCTTACGCTGTGATACGTAATCTGTATCGGATCGTACCTGTCAAATTCTATGTTTGTAAAGCCAACCCTATGAGCCATTAAACATTAAAATGGAAAAAACTTCCCAGGTTGAATAGAAATGTACAGTTCATATTCAGCTCAAATCATTCTGTCTGCTGAAGACAGCAGAGAGCTCAATATTATTCATTTCCTTACTTTCTTTTAATATCCTGTCTCAAAAATTACACTACTACCTGATATAGGAATCTGCTTAAATTCTCTCAGAGAAAACAGTATTTACAAGTTTCAGGCAGCAGAAACAAGTGCTTTTGCAACACTGAGATTGGCTGCCAGTTCTGTTTCCATAGAAATGAACATTCATTTGCTGGAAAACGGGGAGGTGCTTTAAAGAATCTTCTCCAGTTTGGAGGGCTACATGTATTTCTGACGGAGTGAAAGGACAAAACTAGCAGCACATGTTAAGCACATTGCTTGACAGACAAACATCCTGATATGGTTCCCTTAATATGCAACATCATTATGAATGTAAACAAATCCCAAGGTTTACATAGCAGCTCATTCATTCACATAATTCACATTAAAGAAATGATTGCTGGTTTTACTCTCCGCAGCTGAGGGTAAAGGAAAACGGCCAGAAAATAATTATAAAAAAAATAAAACAAAGGTCAGTTGGAGAGGCAAGCTAGCAGTGGGATATTATTTAAGGCTGAAAGTCATTCTCATCAAGCAAAAGCACTAAGACTCCTTCTCAGTTTCCGTGTTAGACATGGTGTCTTTTCATCTGTTGGCTTTTAAAACTCCTTATTACACCCTGCCCCAATTATTCCACCCATACTTGTTTAAATGTGCTTTCCACCTCATCTACCATCCAAGAGGATGTAATTCTAATAGTAACTTGTTCCCCTCCTCCTCCTCTTTACAGTTCCATCAGGGATCAGATTCAATAAAGGAAGAGGGTAACACAAGACTAAAAGGACTGTTCATGCTAGATCCCCTCTAGCACACTCACGAGGATAATAAGATATTAAATCTACCAGTGTGCATAAGAGTGCAGGTAGGATAGCTTTTCCTCTCCTCCCTGTATTTCTCCCACATACCAAAGCATTACAAACAACACAGTGTTTCTAGAACTCTCAAGCATTAAATCAGGTTAGTACAAACATATTTTTTAAATATGTATTTGTGCTGATTATTAAAATACTACTGAAAACAGTTTGTATTTAGATTGTTTAAAGCTGCGAGCTTTGAGGTTTTATTCTTTTTTTATTCTTTTTCTCCCTCCTAAGTACACACTGAATAAAAAGACTGAAGATCTGACTTCAGTATTATTTGATAAGAAAATCCTAAGTCACATCTCTGGATTCTCAGAAACTAGGTCAACATACCAAACATTTACTACCACAGCAGTGTCACTCAGGACTATGAAGAAGATGACATTTTCCACAGTTATATTAGCAAGTCCTTCCCTATCCATCACATGCTGAAGAGAACCCCATAAGTATAGTCAACTGACTTGGGAGAGTTAACTCCATCTGGCAAAAAGCCTTTCCTCTTGCTGGTAAGAAGGCTCACTATGGGGTTTAATTATGTTAAAGCCAATTCAATAGTTTTTTGCCCTCTCCACACAGCCTCCAACACATACTTTGGAAACATAACCCTATTCCCCCCCCCCTTTCCCAAACCCTACTACAAAATATCCAAAGCACTAAAAAAAAAAAATAAAAAAATAAAAAAAAAAAAATCCTTAACACTGTAACAGATGTGTTAGACATTAAAATCTGGCCTTTATCCAGAGATGTTTGATAAAGCTCCTGAAAGAAAAGTTGCTAACAAGGCTACAGAAATTCAACAGTAACTTTCAATCTACACCGCAAGCAGTAAATACAAATTGTCCTTCAGAGAATAATAAAGCACAAAGCCAAGATAAAGCACTAACAATGGAAGAATACCTTTTCAATAACACTGAAAAACTGCCTAGATGGAAGCAACAGATGAACTAGGTTCAAGCAAAAATACTGAGAAAAATGTATTAAGAGGGATTCTGTCTGTGGTACCAAAACAGAATCACAGTAACTTTGCACAGAAATTGCCACCTACAAGACAAAACATGGTTTATACTGCCACAGATCAGCATTAATATCTGTGTCTTACACGAGATAAAATCAGCTTAAAAGTAAGGTTTATTAACTCTCTGAAATAGAGACAAAAAGGACGTAAGTGCCACGTTAACTAGTCCAGCAATGTTGTAAATATATTTTCATATATTTAAATTATTTCAATGCACTTATATTCCCTCACGTAACTTTCTCTATTCTCCTGAGAACTACCAACAGAAAAAATACACATGTAAAATGCATCTCTGAACCTCTCAAACCTATGCAGCTGTATTAACTTTAAATGCAAAAGATAATGGTTTGCCCTTTCGCAATGAGTAAATTTACAATCTAACATAACATTTATGTAAAACATTTTCCCCCCAAATTATTGAATACTTTCCTTCTTAAAAATACTAATTCTTACAAAGCAATTTTTGTGTTAAGTGTTCAAGAATAGCAATGTTTTATTCCAAAGCAAAATGCAGCAGAGAAATTCTCACTACCTCAAAGGAAAGGTTAGAAAAACACATTCCTTTGAACCTACAGTCCCTTCTGTTTCATAACAATAAGAAAAGGGTGAGAAAATTTAAAATGAAAAGGGTATATTTGGGTACATGAAGGAATCACATGCATCCCTCAAAGTACTTCTACTCTTGCATGGTCACAGTTTTTAAATCTAGCAGAGCCTCCTCAGCATAGTTACTTTGAATGAAAAATTAACATCAGAAAATCCTCCCCTGTAAAACAAGATCTATGACAAAACCCAATGGAATGGCCTGAAGTTGTGTCAGGGGAGATTTAGGTTAGATATTAGAGAAAGGTTCCTTCACCCAGACCATGGTTTGGCACTGGAACAAGGTTCCCAGGGAAGTGGTCACAGCACCCAGCATGCCAGAGTTCAAGAAGCATTTGGACAATCCTCTCAGACACACGGTGCGACTCTTAGGGATGCTCCTGTGCAGGGCTAAGGGTTGAACTCGATGATCCTTGTGGGTACCTTCAAACTCAGCATATTCTGTGATTTTGTGATCTACTGATTCCTTACAGAAGACAACAAAGCTTTCAAAACCAATTACATTAAAGCCACTGCCACCGCACCTCCCTTGTTGTGCTGTTATGTAACATTTTTCTTAATTTATAGTTTTAAGAAAGAATGATGGTTTTGCTTTTTCATACTATAAAAAACTGCATCAAAAAACCAGCAGGAAGCAACAAGGATTCCATGCACAACAGGTTCTCTTTTCTTGAAATACACCAAAAATAAGGAGCTCAAACTCAATGAAATCTTAATTTCAACATTTAAGTGTCTTTGAATGCTGCAGTCACCTATTTCTATAATTTAAAACTCCATGTATTATAATCATGTTGCATCATCTTATCTGAGAAGGTATCAAACATACTCATCAGTAAAGTACCGTTTTGTTTTAGAGACATACTGTAAGATAGGATAAAGGTTCATCTGATCTTTTTTCCCGTGTATGAACACTTTGCAGCATTCTTCTATCCTCTGCTGAGCACATCTGCAACTTGTTAAATATTCACTGCTTGTTTCCATGCAGTTTCAACACCTTTTTCAATTGTATTCTGACCGCAGTCCAGCAAATACTTCCAGTAAAACAGTATAAGCTTGTTTCACCAAATGTCTCATTTTCTCAGTATTTACACGTTTCTATTCATCCATCTCATGCTGATAATCCTAATATTCAAATATTTATCTTGTATTAATTTAAAGGTGATTATAAATATATGATCTTTCATACTCACCACTGACGCTGCTTAAAATCATATTTCCAGAGTTTCTTACTTCATCAAATTTTGTAAAGATTGTTTGCAACCTACAAAGAACAAAAAGAACAAAGTATTTTTATGCATTTGAAATCTCACTGGCTACTGGTAAAAACAAATCAGCTTATTAGCATATTTAAAGCAGTAATACAGAATATACAAGAGATCAAAAGTATCAAGAAACAATTCCTAAAGGATTCATCTTTAGTTGAGCATCTTCACACAAATGCACAGAAAACTAAGTCAGCTTAGCAAAGAACAAAATTGAGCATTGTTATTAGCATGATTAAATATGACATCCTAAAGTTCAGGTTCAGTAATAGTATATATTGGGTTTAGACAGCTGTGACACAACAACAAAAGGTAACAATTTGAACTATGGAATGTTCATGTTGAAAAAAAAAATGGATCACTATTTAATTTATTCTGAGACAATTACTAATTTTCCTCAAAACTTTTATTCCTCAAAATTTCCTCAGACTGGTTATGAAAATACTTTTGTGGTAGTTAGCACTTCCACAGGAAAAAAAAACCCAACAACTTTTTTCTAAACTTAAGATACACTAAACACTTTAGTTATGTCCAACACGCACACCACTGATTTTAACTCTCACAACAGAAAATCCTCTGCAAATGCTTTGCTACGTGTAAAAAGCAAAAAACCAACAAAACCAAAAAACCACAAAAAACACACACCAAAACAAAAACCTCCAAAACTCTCCATTTGCAATCTAGTTCCATAAGGCAAAAAATGGTGTTCAAGCAAGAAAGCTGGCTGACACTTCAACAGCCATTTCTCATCACTTCTGCAGAAAACTCAATAAAAGCAGTGGAAGTATCTCACAGAAAAAATGTGACCCACGCACTAGCAATACATTTGTACTGACATAATACACTGTTCAGCTGCAGACACTTGAGAACGTTTTCTTACATTTCTCCAAAGACTTTTTTGCATTTAGAGTACTCAGAATATGTAACACACATGAATGTTTAGCTCCAAGTTTATCAGGACCGAATCCTGATTTTAAATGAACAAAGTTATGAACTACAAATCACATGACAGTCTGCAAATCTCAAACAGGTACAGTTCGGTTACATTAACAGAACTAGAGACTACATTATCCAATTCCAAGTTGCTAATAATTTGCGCTGAAAGGCTGTCTTTACAACTCACAATCTGAACTATTTTAAGGCAGACCTAGAAAAACGTGTAAGAACAATGCCTGGGTACGAAAATCCTTACAAGGCATAAAGGAGAAAAGTCAAGGACACACAAAGATTTTAACTTCAACATTTCCCAGTGCACACACCACTTTTACTCAATGATCCGTGCAGAGAGGTTGTGCACTCTCAACTGTGCAGAGTCTACATTCTCTGAGACTGCAGGCCCCTTTCACTCACTGGGACCTCATTTATCTAATAATGAAGAATGCGATAAAATAATGAAATGCAGACAGACGGCAACATAAAAAGTTTGAGCGTTTCCCTGCACCTTCCAACAACTTAGGACTCTCACAATATGTTACTTTTACTTTCCAAATACCTCAAAGCAATATGCTACAGAGCAAATTTGCCCTGGATTTAGCAGACCCACAACAAGAACGACACGGATTTAGCCGAGAATTCCACAAAAAGGCCTACTCTAGATGCAAGCATCTAAAAAAACACAACCAAAACCCCCCTTAATCATTTAAGTCAATAACCCGTAACACAAACCAGCAGTTTTTCTACGATCTCAACTTATCTCAAAACTATATGTTGCTCAGTAGTAGTTTGCCTAATCTTTCCCTAACATACTTGGCAGCCTCTCTCTGGAACCTATTATCCTCTCCCTTTTGCACCACCATTGCATTTACATCCACTGCTGCCACAGCAAAATGTCTGAAACAGCAGCAATTCACATATGTCACTGCTTTAATATTAAACCTCAAGTCTTTTAATGAAAAGATCAGTTGGTAAACCAAAGGCAAGTTATATGGAAATGGGGTTTTTTTGCACGTAAGACTTGGAAAAGTAAAACTTCTGAAATTAAATGCTTTATGGGTACCAGCATTTACTAATGACACATGGAATCCCATTAACATGCCATGTGCTTTCAACCGTACAACGTGAAAAATTCACACAAGAATCAATACGCATAATAATGCATCAGGCCACCTTGCTTTCATAACAAGAAGTTAATGTGTTTGCTTCATATGTACCATAGGAAGTACTTTTAACATTTACCAGTGGTTGTGAGTTCCCCTCAACACTGCTGGATTCCATTGCAAACACTGCATTAACAGTGCACCTAGTTAATGAGAAAAACTTAACACTACATCTGAAGGGCTAAAACTGTTATCCTGAGAAAAACTGAACATGACTAGAGAGATTAACAGATTTCCTTTGAAATTTCACTTTAATTTTTATATCCTGTAAAGCTGATGTTATCCATTTCGCATACATACTTTACAGAATTCAAAAGAAAAAAGTATTTCCTGCTCTTTTGAACCTAGTTTTCAAAAATGCTTTCCTGAGTGTTTTAAACAGAAGGTAAAAACAAAATGCTTCCTTATAAATATGTTATAATAATACACGTTGCCTCTCACTCTGGGCAAAATATTTGATAAACTACTACTATGAACAATAAAAAACTGTTTGTCAGCACTGCATGCTATGTCGTCAGCAGTGCAGGCTGCAGAACAACACACAGTACTGCCACTCTTAAAACTTTCAAAGCGTGTCTTTATGACCAGCAGCACACTATACAGCATTTGTCATAATTACAACAACAACCAAAAAATCCATTATAACACAGCTGTCAAAAAGGTAAAGCACTACTGTAGATCCAACCCTCTCTTTAGTACAGCTTACAGGAACTGTAACTACTACTTTGAGAAGTCTCTCACAACAAGTTTCTTCCTCCCTCTCCTCCTACCCTGCTCTTCTTGCTACCTTTTTCTCTTCTCATATTTCTTCACAGAGTCACAGGCAGTAAGGCAGTATGGGCTAAAGTCTCTAAAATTATTGCAACCACAATCAATTCAAGAATGTTTACAGGAGTCCAGCTCCTGGCAAAAGAGAGCCTGGCCAAGAGGAATCAAAGAATATTTACATGGCTGGATGAAGACCAGTTTCACCAGCAGTGAGGAATGTTCTTTGAGAAGAGCAACATTATTACTCCCTTTATCTCCTCTCTCTAAGTTCCAATCTGGATATGGAATTGTAATCAATCACTGAAGTCATCAGTCAACAGAAATACTATGTCACCAGTGGACACAAATATTATCTCCTTTCTCCAAAAAGACACAGACACATCTTCTGCAACTTCACATATGGAAGGAAAAATCCCCACTGACAAAAAACACACGTTCAGGACAGCAGGCCACTTCTGCGTGGGCTGTCTCACTGCATGAATGAATGTATGAGGTTGTAGCACTTTAAATGGGGGCTCCTGGCAACCTGCTAAACCCTCTCCTCCGGCAGGCGACGGGTCTCTGTCAAAGTATTACCATATTACGGTGGTGATGTGCCATGAGAGGAACGCAGCTTGAGCTGATGCACGTGGAAACGTGGATGTTCCCAAAGAATGCGCACTACACTTCTACACTGAAAAGCCGTTAATTCAGATCATGCTTGGTGAAGTTCAATTGTTCATATAACAGGCAGAGGGGGATACCTAAAACTTTGAACCTGGTGATAAAGAGGCAAAAGAGCACCGCTCCCCTCTCAATAGCAGAAGGATAAAGAAGAAGAAAGGGTGGTAACAAGTTTGTTGTTCATGTCCAAAGTCAGTCTAAAGCAGGAAATGGCCCATATGAAACCTTGCACTTATTTCTCCATATTTTCCTTTTCCAAGGAAAAAAAAAAAAAAGGATCTTGCAGACATGTGTCCACATCTGGACACCCAGATGGACTTCATCTACAACATGAACTAGACAGACAAGCAGAATGTGCCTACCACATAAAATGTGGTATTCAGAAATGCATACTGCAATATGTTTCAATATTTTAGGATATGAAGTTGTGGCCCTAGACATAAGAACTAAACAAATAACTGGTTTTATACATTTATGTTTCTCAAGTAACAGTAGGGAAATCTGTCAGACGAATTCCTGAAAAATAAAAGCTTTTAACACTCAGACTAAGTAACTGCTATCTAGAGCCACATATACTATTTCCATTCAAGAAGATCAGCCACACAGATTCCATACTATAACAAATTCAATTTGGCCCATATAGAACAAAACCTGTTGACTTTTCTTGGCTCACTGAACAAGAAATAAAACATCAACTTTCAGTATTCACAAATATATTAACACTAATACTTCCAGGCCTGATACCAAAGACCAAACCTCTTTGGCAGCAACTTTAACAAAAGGGAAAACAACATCCAAATTTTCAACCGCAGATTTGATACTGATTTCTAAAAAAAGAATGTTCTTCAAGCAAAAAGCACAATACTATTCTGAGATTTATAAGTTGAAAAATAATAAATACAAAGAGGAACCCATCGATTTTATTTATAAACAAACTCAAATTAATCTTGGTAAAGTACAGAAATACACTGAAGAAAAATAAATAGTACCATGTAGAGTTGAACTACAAAGGTAAGATCCCATATTTTATTCATTACCTAGATTCCAACAGGTCCAATAACCCCCTCTAGAAAATCCAGTATTTTCCACAAAGGCAAACCCTACCAGGTGCAGATTACAAAACCTTTTAAGCCTACTATTATTAAATTACTAACTATATTTGGCTTTATATAGACACAACATGTATATACCATTTGCATATTTAAGGAAGTTGAACAATTTCTCAAAACAATGCTTGATTAACTTTCCTGCCTTCCTTTCAGCAGACATGAGCTCTTATTTTCTGTGCTTTAAGAGCAAGTGCATTTGAGCAGCAACACACAGCTCTCTAATGTGTAATTTTTTATGTGAACTAAACAAGCCTATGTTGTATTAATTCATGTGTGCACCAAATACTGAAGTAATAGGGTTTTCTGCTAATATTTATGTTCACACACAATTTTTAGTGCACTGACATGCAGTGAAGGAGCTGCAGTGCAGTTTTTTAAGGCTGAACTCAACAGCTGAAAGCAGCCATGTCTGAACTACAGATTATCTGTAATACTTAAACCCCTTAAAACCTACACAGACACACAAATATGAACAGAGATTCACTATTCAAAATAGTGAATATTCAACATCAAAGATTTTTTTCCACAGATGATAGCTGCTGCATAACCACATGAAAATTTTAATGCATCTAAGCAAAGGGAAAGCTTCTGACAGGCACTGGGGAAGAAATGTTTTAAATTAGGTCTGCCTCTGAAGGAACAACAGTCTGAGCTACCATAGAGCTAATCTGTCTTTCCTGAGCTTTGTCAAACGCCTTCTTATTTGAGTGAAGCAGTAAGAAGAGACTATAGGAGCTCTGCTTTCTGTCAGTGATGGATGGGACAGACTTAGCAGCCTCAACTAAAATAAATCCCAACTCCCGCCTTTATCCCAGCCTGAAAATTACCACAGAAGACACAACACTGAGACTCAGCTCACATACTGTTTTACACTAGCCCTGACTGTCAGGTGCAAAACTACTGAGATTCAGTGGCAACAACCCATTTAACATGCACCAAGTTGAGTCTAGCTTCTTTATGTAAATGCAAATGATACAGCCATGCTTGCTTTCAGATCGGGGCAATTTTGTATTCAGCTGATTCAGACAGTAGAAACAACAACTTGGCACCTACTGCAACTAAATTAGAAGCTGTTGATTGCCCCGAGGATACAAAGCACCTATGGTGTTTAATCCTATTTGGATCCCAAGATGTACTCAGTTTGTATCACAAGGAGTTGTGAACAATGAGTGCTGAACCTACGCTTTACTGTCAGACCCAACATTCATTGTACAAAGGCTGTGTTATCTGCAATCTTTTATTCTCTGTTCCAAATGATGTCCAAGGCCGTATCTTAATGCCAGAAAGATATTCTCTGGTATGTTTCAGTTATCTGCTAGGAAACCCAGTTTTTGGAATTGTAGTAATATGGCTTAAACTTCTATGGTGACCATACAATCTATTAATAGTCTAAAAGTGTGTACAACTTCTCATTCCCAAAGGCAGAGTAAACTTTTCTCTGAACATGCTGAACTCTGCCTGGAATGTGAAACAATAAATTCAACATCTTTCTCCTATGACATTTTCACAGAATCCCAGAACGGTTTTGGATCATCTAGTTCCAACTGCTCCAGGACAGGCAGGAGCACCTTCCACTAGACCAGGCTGCTCAAAGCCACCTCCAACCTGGCCATGAGCACTGCCAGGGATGAGACACACACAACTCCTTTGGGCATCTCGTTTCACCACCACCACATTAAAAATTACTTCCTAATATCTAATCTAAACCTACCCTCTGTCAGTTTAAAGCCATTCCCCCTTACCCTATCACTACATGTCCTTATAAGAAGTCCCTCTCCAGCTTTCTTGTAGGCTCCCTTTAGGTACTGCAAAGTGCTCTAAGGTCTCTCCAGAGCCTTCTCTTCTCCAGGCTGAAAAATCCCAGCTCTCAGCCTAAAAGAGAGGTATTCCAGCACCCTAATCAATTTAGTGGCTCACCTTTGGACTAACATGTTCTTCTCATGTCAGGGGCCCCACAGCTGAACACGTATTTTGATATATTATCAAGCTGTATTCTGATATCCTATAAATAATCATTAAAAACTAGGGCTCTTAGTTTTTAAGAAGGTTCTGATGAGGCACAGTATCCCTTCTGATAATTCTCTCTGACACCAAGCAGTCAATATTTTCCGCTTTATCAAAATCAAGAAGTGAGGTGACAATTCAGAGTAAAGTGATATGCTGATTGATAGGGGGTTAACACATATTTAAAAGTGTAAATTGTTTTGATAAGGAATTTGAAAGATTTTATTGAATAAATAGTCTTTCCCACAAAGGGCAACAAAACAATGGTTACTTTTATTTCATATAAACTAATCTACACAGTCAGGAACACTAGATGGAAGCAAAACTAACTAGAAAACAAAAGAAATATTATAATAATTTAAACCCAAAGTTTTTATTGAGTTTAAAATTCTGATTAAAAACAATAACACGTAAGGGCTCAGGATTACAAAATCAAAACAGTTAACTCACCTTCCAGGAGGAATTCCTCTCTTCGCAAGATCTATTCGTACTTTTTCTCCCACATGTCTATAAACCTCTACAATGGCTAGTATGGCAGCATCTCTCACCTGTGAATGCAGTTTGAACTGTTAATTTCAGGGTTACAGAAGCCAAATAACATTTGCTGACAACCCACTAATCTTCCAGTTTCTACTGACCAGCATGCCAATTCATTTCACAAAACAGCTGAAACAGTGAGGATGAAAAGGAAAGGAAATACAACTGTTATTTCAAGACGGTATTTGTTCTAAGATAGAGCATTCCCAGATGGTAAAAAATGCTAAAAGTAACGGCTTTAGAGGGAATTTCTGGGATGGACGTAAGAATAATATTTGCGGAAAAAATGTACTTTATTTAGAACTCTTATCACAGCAGGCAATACTTCCAAAAGTTAGTTCCTGCACTTAGTCTTGACACTTCATTTGCTTTCATCTGTTTCTACACACAGAAGGGTCCTTCTGGAAAACCAGGGACCTCACTGCCCACAAGAGTGGGCCAAAGTGATCAGCATTTTCTTAATTTACTTCAGCCTGAATCGGGTGGCATGCAATCAGCACAAGAAAGGGAATAAGGCAAGATTGTGGAAAGGGAAAGAACATTTAAAACAAAGAGACTGAGTGCCTCTTCAAAAAATTCAAACCATAGTCATCACAACAACAACTGCCAAAAATGCATTTTAGTGTATGCCATTATTCTCTATAAAGAATGACTGGAATGACTTTAGTATTGTTCTTTGCAGCAGTTCAAACTAAACATATAATTGCTCTCAGAAGATATGAACTGCATCTTTACTAATCATCAGCAAACAGGACAAATTCTTTACAGAATTTCTCTATAACAGAACAATGCTATGCTATCCAGGAGACAAGAACTTTGCCACATTCAGAAATTAGACCAAAACTGTTTATAAGACCATCTCCTACCAATGTTATCTTCTCCCTTACTGTATTCTTAGTCTTTTCTGTCAAACACAACTGCATATAAATCGAGATATTTTATCCATTTCCATTTGAAGCCTTTCTGAAGTTCAGATGTCACTATTATGCAGCACTGTATCTTGATTTTCACTGCAGATGTTTTTGCTTACTTAGCTGATTTTAACAACAGTCCTCGCATGTTCTGAAATGCCATTTGGGTTCCACTTAGAAAATAATTACACACAATAATGTTATCTTTAGCAAATTTGGCAAACTATTGCAGGTTTCATATAGGGGCTGCTTCTGGAGGCAATTCTTTGTGTCAGTAACATTTTTTTAATTATTTTCTGTCAACATGCTCTATAAGAAACAACTACTTTCAGTAATCATTAGTTTCAACCTCTGGAGATTAAACTAAAGGGACGAGTACATTGCATTACTACCGCCTTTGCAACTCTACTTTCATCTTCCAGTGGATGGACTGATTAAGAAAGCTTGTCTTTAAATGCTTATATTTAATTTGCTTTCATTGCTCTGTCAAAGTATAGTTGTTTAAGGACCAGTAAGTAATGAAATCCTTACCTGACTATTGGAGTCACCAAACGCTATACACAGATGTGGCACCAACTTGCTGAGGATTAATGGTTGCGCACCATAACTTAAAAAAAAAAAAAAAAAAAAAAGTGTATTTTTTACAGAAAAACAAAATAATTTATGCAGAAGTGAACTTTTAGCTTAGCATTCATAGAACACAAACTGACATCAATCAAGCTCTGTCTGTCTCTTACTAGTCACTTGTCTAATTTTAAGTAAGATAAAAATTCCATAACTTTAGTCTTTCAGAAAGCTCACTAGTTGTTTGATTTTCCCCATGTATTAATGTAATTGAATCAGACTTCCTAAAGTATTAGTTTCAGAGGAAAAGGACATTCAGAAGAAGGATAGAACCGTTACATCTCCATAGAAACAAAAAGCTTACATGTTTAAGGTAGCAACAAGACACAAACACACTCCTTCTCGGGATCGGTAATTCTTGTGTTTAAAACCAACAGCAAGGCGTTCCCAAATGTACTATAAAAGCAGAAATAATTGTCTTTAATTACCAGGAGCAAAACACAATGTAATTCTATCCATATATTATAATTACATTCACAACAGTTGCAAAAAAATAACAGAAGACTGGAAAAGTGATAAAATTGACTTATGAAATGCACAATGTGCAACACAACACACATGAATTCTATGCCAAAACCCATTCCTATAAAACATCTTTCAGTCGTGTGAATATTTTTATTGTTTAAGAAACAGCTCCTAAAACATACAGAATTGTTACAGTTAATGCACACAAAACAAACATTTACAGTACAAACTACTGACTCAAGCAGAAGTTGCTATATCCTTTTTGCTTCGTATTCTGTCTCCCTGCCAAAATTTCCTCTCATCCATTTTAGCTTGCCCTTATCTATACTCCTACTGTCCCACTTCTCCCTTACTTTTGCTTTAAATTTATTTCATTTTTGGATTATTTCTTGCCCATTTGTTCTAATTGCTTTGCTTCCATTTTTGCTCTGCTTTCGGTTCTCCTTTTCCGTGCTGGTGCTGCTTCCTGTAGTACTACCCTCTGGCTCACTAAACCCTTCGTTTACCTTCTTGCGCACTCGTTTTTCACTGCCTGCCTCCACTCTTTCCCCCCTCGGCTCATCGTTTTACCTTTCCATCTCTAGCTGCATGTTACGGCGTAAGGAGTGTAAACGCGGAGCTTACGAGAGTGGGGATTCCCGGCGGTGTTTCGGAGCAGATGCACAGACTCGGGCTGCAACTCGCCCCAGCTGCAGCGCTGCCATTACAGCCCCGCCAGCATCCGGGGAGCGTTGCCTAGCGATGGACGGCTGCACACTGGCAAGGGCTGCACACTTTGCAGCCCAGGCACCTCCCTCTTCCCAACTGCACCCCGGAGTGGTGCAACTGCAACCTATAATGACGCCATACCAACCTGCTAAAATGTATTAGACACTAATTATTGCAATTGCATTCGCCTTCCTGAGAAAAAAAAAAAACCAACCAAACCCTCAGAAACAGCTACTGATCAACGAAAAGAGAGACACTAAGAGCAGGGAATATGCGTCCTCTTCATTAATGAGGTAGCACACTTCACAGCAGACATAAAATTTTCCAATTAGAGCCCTGCTTGATAATTTTGTCCCATCTGTGGTGTTTTGTTTGTTTGTTTTATACTTCACTGGGTTTAGAGAAAACAAACCTTAGACAAGCAGGATATGGCTTGCCAAAACTGCACAGCTTAACAACAAAGAACAGGATTTTATGGAAGAAAACATCCTTCCAATTAACTCACTGTCACGGACAAACATGGGAAAAAGGAAATCTCCTTGCTAGATGTACAAAAATACAGGTAGAGAGGGAACGGTAGAGTACTGAAACAAACAAATCAGACTGAAGAGAAATTTAGGCTTTCACTAAATTAACCCTTCTTTAGGAACTAAATTCTTCTAATCAGAGAAATTCAAATGGCTGCTTAGAAGTTTCAACTCTCAGAAACTGCTAGCAACAATCCATGTCGACCTCCCTTTGTCCCATTCATGCACATTTATACCACTTATATTTTTATGCCTTCCTGCCCATAACCAGCTACATCTAGTTCTTGCTTATTAAAAAAAACCCAAAACCAACAAACACATCTAAAACAAGAAAAGGGATTTAACAACAGGACAAATTAAATGTTATTCAACAACACTCTAGAAAGGACAAGATAAGTTGACTGGAAAGAAACTTACAGGACTTCTCCTCAAAAAATTATTCCATCCAGCTCTTCTAAGGAGATGTTCCTCTGCAGCAAAGAGAGCCTAAAGCTCTGTATTTCAGTGTTGGAGGCACGGGAAAGACTTTGCTGGTTTGGTCCCTGCTGTGATGATGATTGATACTTTTCATCCAAATTTTTAATGATCCATAAGCTGTCCTGAGAGTACACAACCAAAGCCAGGCTTCTCCCACCCTGGGGAAGTTACCAGGAGAGCCATATGTTCTCCTCCATACACACGCTGTTCCATGGACCCCATGAACCTTCTATGCTTTCTGACACTGAGAGTAATCTTCAAAGGGGATGGAAACTTCCTTCCATCACCTCTGTGTACAACCTAACAACTCTGCACAAATGGAAAGACGGACCAGTAATCTAAAACTCTTTCATGATAAGGGCTTAGTGCAAAGCAACTACCATCACATTCTTTATCATCAGCTGTTCAAAATGAAGGTATCTCCAAGATGCTCGGCTGTGCACTTGTCCAAATGCTATTGCTGTAGAGGTTCTGGTCTGTATTCCAGGTACTTCGGAGCATCTTGGGCACAGGAACACATAATTTGTGAAGTACTGACACTTAGGCACAAAGAAATGCTGCAACATCCCTCTGTCAGTGAATACAACCAAAACTGTAGCTTGTAAAAAGAGAAAACCATGTCTTTGTGGATGACACTATTAGACCTTGATGCCTAAATGCCAAATCCGTAACCAAATCATGTGAGAAAAAACCTCATGTTGGAAGGGAGATTAACACATTCTATAGTTGTCTAACAGGCTATTCTTTCTATCAGGCAAACAAAGCAAGTCACAATTTTCCTACTCCAGATCAAGTCTCCAACATCTTATTCCCTGTGCACAAACATTCAAACTTGTATCTAGAAATCAAAAAAGCCACGAAGTAGCACACACAAGAAACTCTTTTTTTTCCCTATTAACCTTTGCACTTACAACGCAAAAATAGACTTTCTTCAGAAATTAAAAACTCAAATAGTAAGTTCCTACTCATGACCAGCATCTCCAGACTTCCAAACAACACCACTGCTCAAGACTATAATCTTGTTAAACAATCCTACATTTTTAAGACTCATGGAGAAGAAATACAAGATTAAACACTTGGAAGCCACATAATGCTAAGAACTGAAGGTTCAGTTAAGCAAACCTCCTTATAACCAAAGACTACAAGTCAGAGAGCAACTTATCCCCACCTCAGTTTATTCAAGGTTCACAGAGCATCTCTAAGTTAGAAAATCTGCACCTCAACTACTACAGGACTAGTCCTACATGCTCAAGTGCAACGCTAATTTTGAAATAAATTTGGAGCCAAATAAACTTACTTATTCCCATTAAGCAAACACAAACCCAAGAGATGCTTCGAACGTGCTTTAATTAACAAAGTTCTGTCACATGACATGAAAACATCTACTCAGAATTCAGCTACAATATGCAAAAAAACGCACAATCACACAATGCCAAGATTTTTATCTTTAGCTGAACAATGCATTAGTGTCAATCCACTAGGAGTATCTTTAAAAGTTATACTATTTACACCATTAATAGTCACCATAACATTGTGACATAGTCAAAGTTCATACATAAGTCATAAGCTCACTGGAGGCCTACATCTGAATCTACATTAAGTAATCATACCATGGGTGGTGCTGCTTCATCCATCAATTTCAATATAAGATTCTGTGCTTGCTCTCGAACTTGGTCTTTGGCATCTCCCATACGATCTATCAAAGGCATGAGAACTACAGGAGAGGGGAAAAAAAAAGAAAATACAAAAGATTAAACACCTGGAGATTTCTAAAATGGAGATTTTTAAAAGATATTCCCTGAAACAGATTTGATATATATGTCGTTCAAAAATAAAAGCTGATTTTAAATAGGTCAAAATATTTTTAAGTCTCAAATGAATTTCTGAGTATTTTACAAGACTAACAACAAATGCATTGGACTGAAATGGAAGAAAATAGTATCCTCCAACAGGTTAAAAAGAAAGCAATCTTCCCATCTTAAAAACTGTATGAACGACTTCAATTTAATCTTCAAAAAATATGCCAGTAACTTCTGAATGTCTGGCTTTTCTGAAAAATAATGGTGTGCATGGTGAGTGGCAAAGAATTGGAATAGGAAAAGAGGACTATTATAAAATCAGTCGGATTTTGCTGTTAATTAAAAAGAAATTTAGAAGTTTTAAATCCTTCTATTCACACAGTGTACTTTCAAGAAACTCTGCCTTACTTCAGTAAAAGTTACTATTTTAAAATAAGCATCCGCAAATAATATTTAACTGAAATTGCATGATAGCTGATCGTGCTTCACATCCTAAGAGTCAGAAAAAAAAAAAAATCAAAGGACTTGCTAATTCTTTTTGCTTGCTTTGCCAGATATAAGTCTATAATTACATCAAAGAAATTAATGCTACAGTATTAGGAAAGATATCTGAATGGACACTCAGATCAGTGTTTTGCAAGATATCCTTCTATACTAGTGCCCAGTCCTCCACCTGGGGCCTAAACACATACTTTGTGAGATTCTTCCCCCCTGTGCTTTCGGTACCACTGCTTCAAAACGAGGGATGATGACAAAGAGTGCACTGCCTTCCCTCGGGAAGTACAACTGACATGGAGCTGGTGGAGGTGTCATCTCCCGCGGGACAACTGCTTTGAAGTCAGTATAAGCACGTGTTACACCACCTAGAAAAAGCCGGTTTACATGCTAATGGTAACCTTTACCTGCTGACAGCTCAACCCTCTGCATCAGTTCTTGTTTCTGATCTGACCAAGTTTTCTAAGAGCTGCAAGTATCAGTCACATAATTTAGGTGAAACTTACTCAACACAGCCCACAATACTCACCCAGCTCATCTTTCTGCTCCTCCACTCTAGTTAAGATGCTAAAAATTAGTTTTCCTTTTCTACTCATAGAATAAATAAGTATATCACACTACTTTTTGAAAATGAGATCTGAAATAATTTTATCAGTACTTAACAACTTTATAGTAATAACTAAACAATAAATTCACCAGCAAAAGAAAGGGAACAGAATCAAACTCAGAAGGTCTCCTCAGTCCTCTGTTCCTACATTAAAAACAGCAGTCATTTCTGTACCATGATTTTTACTGGACAAATACATTGCTCAAGTCTGAATTTTCCCTTCAGCAATATCTGAACACTTTCTTATTGTCCTAATCTGAGTATTTAATTCTACTGGTTCTGGATATTCCACTGACATCTCCCGCCACCATTACCAAGGTTTTTCATCTAGGTTCTCTTCCCTTTCTCCTCTGAAGAAATTATTACAGCTACTTTCATTTTACTGGTTGAAGTGTCTGGGGTTTTTTTGTTTGAGTTGGACTGTTGTTGTTTTGATGGTGTGGGGTATTGTCTTTATGGTTTGGTTTAGGATTTTTAAGGGGTGCTTCTGTTTTGTTTGGTGGTTGGGTTTGGGGTTTTTTTCCATTTTGTGAATGAAGAAGAAACATCCAGAACTCAAGTGATTTTCGGGAGTACACTTGACCCCTCCCACAAACTTCCAATCACTGTTATACCTATTAATTACATTTTTCTTGCCAACAGTACTTTTCATGACCATTTTCAGCTCTTCTGAACCGACCTTGTCCTCACACCATACATTACTAGCGAGGTCCGCCACATTAGCCTGATTGTTGCTGAAGGCAACTCTAGCTTTACAGAGAGGGAAACAAACAGCCAGTGCCAGTCCTGTGGGAACACGGCTCCTTTGTGACTAATTAGCACGCTGAGTCATTTGACGGAGCTGCAGATACCAGGGCTCCGCTCAGATCACTGAGGCAAGCACAGAGAACAGCTCCTAGAAGTTGCTGAACAGAGATGAGGTCACCGAGTTAAACTAAGCTATGACAGCCTGCAGACTTCAGTGTGCACAGCTATTGAACACTTGTCACTTGTGGAGCTCAGGCAAAGGACAACTGGCTGTGGGAGCTGTTGAAGGGCCCAAATGTCTGCAGGCTTGGCTTTTTTTTCCTCCTAAATCTCAAGTTTCTGTAAGACCCCATATAAGACATGATATATTCTGTTTGCACAAGACAAATGAAATTAGGCTGCTGAATGCTGGCAACCACCAGCTGGTTTTCAGTTTGGTAGTTCATCTTTTCTGTGAGAATAAGCTCCAATAGGAAATTATTTGAAGTTGGTTGTCTATTGATCGAGTTTCAAAACGCTCAACTAGAACGGGAACTTCACCAAACATATTTCAATTTGAATTCCTCGTGGCTTTATCACTTTTTCTCCAAATGTTAAGGCATGTCTAGGGAGAACTACAGTGAAAAATAGCTGAAATCATATTAGATGTCCTGCCTATCTATGAATGAGTGAGAAACACATGTTCCTACCTAAAAAATTCTGACAATGTTTGAAACACCTGGGTCCATCCCAGCATCTTGTTTTGCTCATCACCCTTCTCTTGTCCCAGCTCTAAGTCTCATGGCCTCTCCTTGTGCCTCTGTAGTCCCGCCCAGTCAAAAATCACAGAGCACAAGAATCTTTTGAGTTCTCATAAGAAACCTCACCTAAGCCCAAAGCAGCAATTACAGCCGAGCATCAGGGATGACAGTGCAACACAGGCTTTCGCTCTACATCAAGGTAAGCCAGGCGCTATTACATGAAAGCAACAGCTCTGCCTCCTCAAATAGATGCTGGAATTAAAAGAAAGGTGAGGAAAGAGAAGTAGGACCATACATGAAGGCTGTATTCAAAGTGGTAACCTCCTAACAAGTTACTCAGTGAAGTATATAATTTGTCACATTCAGTCTGGATTCACACATTCCTACAATTCCATATTAACCTTATTCATCTTACGTCTTCTGTTGCCTAGTTTCTTTAATTATTTCAAAGGGATTTTGGAAAACCCAATAACATATGACATCTTTATTTCTGGTATTTATTTCTGCTAGTATGCTGAGAAACATTAAACTAAATTTAGGAGACCATGATTCCTTTTACAATTGCTCTATGTTTTTGGTGAAGCATTATATTCCAACTTGCCTTTTTGCCACATTTTAGGATATTGCCAAAGCTTCCTACTGCTTCCAACCACTCCTGAGGTTTGTCTGTTAAGATTTCTACATTGTTGTACCACAGTTTTACACGTTTTGATTACTGAAAAAAATTTAAAACTGTTAGCAAAAAATATTCTATAGCACACTGATTCTACCAGATTTACCTTCTATTTACATCTGATCTGTTACTTATTCCTTTTTACTTTCTATTATATCCCTAACAAAGGTTATTATCTCATCAGCTTCTTTTTCCATTGTCTTCCTTCTCTTGGCTTGGTAAACCTAAACAAATTTTCTTTTTATACAAATTCACATAATAATTTTATCACCACTAGTTGGACACTAGATGCACGAGTTAAGTCCAAAACCAGCCTTCAAGTCAGAATACAGCTTTGAGAGATTAAAAATTTATTTCCTCTACCAGGACTGAGGATGATAAAACAAGTAAATCACAGAAGTCAGTGCCTAGTGTGGCACTCAATGTATTTTTCAAACCTTAACAGCTTAACTATATGACCCATGCAGCAAAGAATGCCATAGGTAGCACAAACAGTTTCCTTTTGTTAAACTTTAACAAGAGTTCCTTCTGGAGCTTTTCAGTTTCTATTACTGCTTTTTCTTCTCTCCTGACTACTTATACCTGCTCTCTGTATACCTGTGCCCATTTTAAGTCTCACATCTACCCATTTCTAAGAACCAACTTTAGATACTACATTACCACAAAGACTTACAAAAAGGCATTAAGCAAGTAAGAATCTTTAACGAGGAAACATCATCAGTGTTGGTAAAAACTCTGCTACTAAAAAGAAAAGTCTTTGAGGACAGAAACAGATTAAATCTAGGCAGCAATATCTTCCTCGTTTCCTCAGAAACCTTGCCAGCTCAGGCAGCAGCATTGAACAGCTGTCATTAGAAAGGAGGGAAGGAAACAGCTGCCTCCGCAATTAGAGCAGTCTCTGTTCTTCTGGGCAAGATGCACAGGAGATAATGGAATCCTACAGGGGCTCCTACAGGGCCACCAACAGGCTGAGTCTGACAGATCCACATGGCCAAGGGCTACTTCTAAGCAAAGAACCATTAGCAGACTCTCAGAGAGGTCCTCACTGCTCCCCTCCTCAATATAAAGTCCAGGTCACAGTCAGTTCAATCAAAAGCCATCTCAGACATTAATAATGAGCTTCTTGGGGTCTCTAGGAGCTAATTAAGAAAAGCATTAATGAGATTAATGAGACATACTTTTCATCATCAGTAGCAGAGGGGAAAAAACAAACACATTTTTTAATATGATACATTCATGAATCTATCAAGGTGTCAGTCTCGGGAATATGAGAAGAGAATTGCAAGAGATGCATTAGACTAGAAAGAAAACCAGAAGGTAAAGAAAAAATGTTCATGCCATCTTCTGAAATATTCTTAGCTCTAGGCTAAGATCTAGGCTAGGTTTTTTAGAGAACTAATATTAATTAGAATCCTACAGAAACCAAGAAAGGCTAGGATTTCTCTACTCTGATCTAGCAGCACTTCATTTCTAGGTGTCATACAGTCAAAACTCCATGGGCAGCAAGCAGTTGGTACTTTGAATCACAGCCTATCACTCAAACATGGATCGCTTCAGGAAAAATTCATCCTCACTACTAAAAAAATTTCAGTGCTAGCCAGTCAGGACAGAAAAAAAAAAAAAGCACTGAAAGGCTGCATAGATTCTTTCTTTTTTTTTTAATTAAAGTTTTAGAGAATTTGTCACCAAGTAACATCACTTGTTTTAGAAAACAAGTGTAAAGACTTCTCCCAGAAATTTTATCACATGGACACATACGTCTGTAATTCTAATATTCTCTTATTTATATGCCATCACCTGGGAAAAGAGATTGTGACAGGGTAATTATGTACTCTTATGTAATCTCTTTTAATCACAGAACAAGTAGTAGTTTTAAATATCAAAAGGTGTAACGCTTAAACACTGCTTTATTTGTCCTAGAATACAGACACATAATCTCATGAATGAACACATACCCTGATATTTATTGCTTCCAAAGTATTTTCAAGAATCTTAACTGCAAGTGCTAAAAGAAAGATTCTGAATTTGTGTTTCCAGATTTCCAGGACACTGATGCCAGCTGCAGAGAATGCGCAATGTGGTTAATCATAAAAGGATAACACCTCTGAAGAAATTTACTGCAACATTAGATTGTTACCTAGGAAACTGATTTAAGTCTCTTATCAGGCATTATACTTCAATACAAAGATAATTAACACGGTCTTTGAAATTTTGGAAAACATCTGTCCTACAACTATTGTATTGATTTTGCCCAAATGTAGCTGTAAAGATTGAAATAATAATAAAGTATTTGTGTTTTTCACTTCACAGCAAAAGCCTGTCACGCTTATGGAGGTGAATATTCAGTCACATTAGTTGTTCTTCTCTTCACTCTATCCCCATCATAACTGAACAGGAAATTAAATCGGGACTGGGGGAGGTGGGGTGGAATATGTTTTGCCACACTATAGTCCAGTAATACGTTATTATACTTCCATCATTTACTGAGATCTGAGTCACGAATAAAAACATCTCAGGGTCACCAAAACGTAACATTCTTTATTACAAAAATACATTTAAGGCTCCAGATATTTTTATGACCAAAAAACCAGTAGTTTATTAAAAAAAAAAAAACAGCTATAGAAATGGAACTTGACCTAGAAAATAGGATTCACTGTATTTTTATAAAGGTAGAGAACAGACTCAGTAAGTATTTTACATATACATCATCCTTCACTACAGTCATGGTGTAATCCTGATCTTCTGTGAAAATGCAAGTACCTACAGTAACTTACTGCAATAAGTGAGAAGTTAACTATAGTTTGAGTATTTCAAAGCAATAATTAAATTGCCTGGGAAAGTTCTGTTATGTTTGTCTTCAAAAAATAATATACTCACATTTATTTGATCAAGAAATGATTTAGGAAACTGCTGGTTCTTTAAGTTTTGTTGAAGGAAGCAGTCTTCTTGTTCACCAGTGTGCTTTTAATTACTCTCATAAACCCTAGGCTATACAAACTCTAGACACTTAAACGAAAGTTTTTGTATTACTGCTTCACTGAAAATTAACCCAGTCTTGTTATAAGACTTGGAGAGACAGCTACCAACTGAAGAGAATCTTTAAAAAAGTCATCTAAAATAAAGATTGTTTTCTGCCTTTAGTAAAACTAACATTTCTGTGTCTGTTAAGCTTTTATATAAGCTGATCATGCACAACAGTAACTTGCATATTCAGCACAATGTACTCTACAGGTCTTGATTCTGGAGATTCTCAGAGGACCAACTTCAGCTGAAGGCACTACTACTCAGTTTAACTAAAAAATACTTCTGTAATACACAGCTTCAGATGTCTATTGATATTACACTTTTGATGGTCACTCAATGCCACTACTCTGGATTTTTTAATATAAATGCTACTAAGTACTGAAAGGTAAATCTTTAATTTGCTCATAATCTCAAACTACTTAACTACTGGGACGAAAAACTACAAAAAATATCAACAAATGATAGTGTTTTCAAACTATTCTCAAAGTTTATTCTTAAAAAGAAATTAAAAGCTTCCCAACTTTTAATAAAGTTACTGTAATTTTAAGTCCTACACACTACTAAATTAGAAATCAAAACAGAGTGAAACTCTGAAGCCTAGCACTGTTTGTAGCTATAAATGGAGACTATTCAGAAATCAATATTGTGCATAGCACAGTATGCCTCCAGTTCTCTTCGAGCACTCCAATACAAAATTAATCAGCCAAAGAAAAACACTCTGACACAAAATAGACACAAATTCTACAGCACTCTATAAAAGCAGATATGGAAAGAAGACAAAGCTTAGAATTTTGACAGACAATTTGAGATATCTGGGGATCTGGGAGCATGACCTAAGGTAACTCACAAAAATTTTGAAAAAGGACATTAAGTTAGAAACTTCTCTTAAAAATAGCCAGCAATATAACATCAATGTTATTGCCCTAATATCATTATCTCCTTTCAAGGACAGCAGTAAAATGAGTTGAGCAGTGTAGTTTGCTTGTACCTCCCAGAACAACTGTCTCATGCTCAGGCACATGTGGATCTCTCAATCTGAAGTTCATTCGAGTAAACATTTCACACAGGAGTAACAGTCAGTACTTTTCTTTCATCCCGTAATAACTTTATACGACTAAAAGCTACAGTCCGTTATCTAACAGGAGGTCGACCACATAATCCTGGGAGACTACAGGCTTCAGCAGACATAAGGCTCTGATTAAAGTGGTCTGCAAATAAAACCTTCAATCTTTAACACAAGTCAAAGATAACACTTATGTTTCAATGTAATTTTTAGATGACTATCTCAGGGAGTGGTTAGCAACCACACAGCATGAAACTAATTACTGAAAAGACATTCCTGGAACCTTTAAAAAATCCCAGCCACAGAGAAATCAGTGACTGCATGACAAGTGAATCATGATATGTTACTATACAATTATTGCAATTCCAACAACATCAGTAAAATGCCTACCAGTATATTATAATTAGCTCAGAAAGTTTTCAACGTGTTCTACTTCAGCTGTTAAGGGCGAGGGAGAAAGTGTCTTTTACTTTTTGGTCTTAAAAAAGAAGTTATACTTCACTTACCAGTTCCTATATAGGCTTTAAAGCGTCCTGATAGTCTGTCGACAAAGGCACCTAAAACATCTAATCCCAGTAGTGCTACCTGATGAAACAAAAATATATTATAAACATGTTATAAAACTGATCACTAAACAATTTTTTAGAATATATTTCACATAAATTAGACATATAAATTCAAGCATTCTGAAAGACTGTATCTTAACCTAAAGATAAATTAAAGTTTCAATTAAAGAGCTGATAATTCCTTCAAAGTTTTTCTTAAGACAAAGTTATCAGAATATGTTTGGAATGGATAAAGTTTATTTGCATATAGCAGTTCAGATTTTTCAGGTCTTGTCTTAAACCAGAAAAAAAAAATATTAGAAATCCAGTGGGTTTGTATTTTCAGCTACAAAGCCCAGACAAAACCAAGGTTTAGTAGGTTTCCCAGATGCTTAGAGTTTATTTCAATCTGGCTACTTAGCTCATCCACTAAGGTCATTACATCATTTTCCAAACTCCCAAAAGAAAATAACTGACAGAAGCTAATACTGTTTTCCTTAGCAGTTCAGACCATACCATTTGTCCACCTGCTTGTTAAGCTTGGGAAGCTTTAGTTCTCATTTGTTCATTAAAAAAATAAAAATTAAAGCAAACAAAAACAAGAACAAAACCAAAAAACCAAAGAAACAAAACAGAAAACAGAAAGAAGTTCAAAGTACTACTGGAATTGCGAGGAATTCCCCATCCATGAACAGAAGCTGGATGACAGGACAATACCCACTAATATAGACACAAAAACACGATCAGAAATTATCAGTTAGACTGAATTACTTTAATGTCAGGACACATTTTTCACTATTAATGATCCTACCTATTGCTCCAAGATTTCATTTTTAATTTCCTATAATAGTTCATTAGGAACACCAGAACTTGCATTTTCACATCTTGTAGTTAACTCAATTTGCTGCCCATGAAGGTGCAAATGGAACAACCATTTGTCAAAGGAACAACCACCTGAAGCTTGGCCATTCCCAACAGCTTTTCCTCCTCTTTATTTTCAAGTAAGACATGCACTGCAAATTTCTCCCCATAAACTCATGAGCAGAATTCTTCCCCTTTATTAGCTATTTACTTTCATAAAACTTGAAATCATATTTTCTTGGACAACTCTGTTTCCTTAAGATCCTTATCTGCCACGATTGTCCACACTAGACAGCAGGCCAAGAAAAAAATCTGACTGGATATGCATGTGCATACACATGGCCCACACACACAGAATACTATAACTAATAACTTACTTAGACCCCCCCCCCAAAAAATCAGCTTTTATAGTACTCTCAAGACTTCCCACAAACTGCTTCCTTTAATGTTATTTTCCAGATTGTCAAGCTGTATGGAACCAGAGTCAAAATCTCTATCTAAAAAAAACAATGCCTGAAAGAAATAAGACATTCATTCTGGATATACATTGTTTTCCTATGCTTCTGTTTCCTGACTATGAGTCGCAGCTTAGACTTGTCTTCCAGTGACAACTTTTAAGATACCTTTCCATGCAAATATTTTGGGGTCTATTAATGCATGAACAGCAGCCTTTCCTTCTATGAAGGTTACAGAGTCTCTCACTCTTCTCCACACATTTGATCGTATTTCTAAAATCTGTCTGGAAGATTTCTACTGTTTTGAACAAGTGCTGCTCAGAAACTCAAAAATAGCAAGGCATGCATGTGTGATCTGTAGCTCATACAAAGTCCTCTATGGTCTGCAACTTCAGAAAGATAACAGCTATGAAAAGTCACAATATCTGGAGAGTAAGAAAGTATGATATGACCACAAGCTGAACTAATGCAAAACTGCTCTAGCTACAAAATTGGTTCTCATTCCACATTACAAGTCAGCTGAACCACACAACTACAGAGTATAGCAAGTTAACTATCTCTTACTAGTTTTGTAAATTGGTTTTAACATGTCTCTGCTTTGATACACAATGCTCTGAGTTCCAGCATCTTCTGGTAGGTATCATCTGTGCAGTATTCAAGCAGCCCTTAACAATTTATATGGGGCCACATGAGCAGCATTCAAAAAAAAAAAAAAGAATCCTAAGCTGAGGCAGAACTGATCTGCAACAAAGAGGTTCCAAACTCTGAGACACTATGTGGGACCACTTACCAACATGGGCTCTCCACTATCAATAGAAAAACCTTTCACTAGCATCATTGCTCTTTCCCCACCAGCTTCAGTGAGGGATGAATGCCTTCTGGGATTAAAATCAATGGATTTATTTCTTACTCTGCATTCATTAAGCCTTCTGCTTGCTGCCTAGAAAGAGCCTTTGTATGTTGAGACTGATTCATCAGCTCACTATTGTTTGAAGCATTTAAACACTGCTTTTAAGGTTCATAGGGGAAAAGAAATTTAGGCTCATTTGAACTGGACGTGGTTAGTTGTTGAGCTGTTCTTTAACAACCCAGTGTTAAGGACCATCCTTGACTTCTCAGACCATAACAAAATTGCCAAACCAACTGAGAAATATTTTATCTGTTCTGGATAAAAAAGGACCAGACTCTTCAGTGAAATCAAGATGTTTCAAACAAAATGCAATTATGAATTGAACCACTGATTAGTAATTGAACTTATTCTTGCTCTGCAGCTTGTTCCTTTTCCAGCTCTCTTTCTGGCAGTGCTTTCCAGAACTGCCCCTGTTCTTCTCTGGATAACCTCTGTTTTCGCTAGGAAAAGAAATACTGTTCTTCAAACCATATCTGGATAACCATGCATGCTTACTGTGATTCTGTAATTTCCCATGCTTGTGGGGGCCATCTAGGGGCAGGACACTACCAGGAAACCATCTCTAGTTGCATTAAGTTGCCAAATGACCTTAATATGAATGCCCTTGTCATAGGATCTCTATATTGTACATGGAAATACAGATTCTGCAGATCACAATCTGTAACTAGTCATGAGAAGCTAATGGGGTAATTATGGAGGTTACTATCTGCAACTCCAAAGAATGAAGTTAAGGCACTGCACTTCCTGTCACCATGGGGACAGCTGTGGTATCACTAACAATTACTGACAAACAGAAAAGAGCATGCCAAACAACTACGCCCTGCAAGAACAAGCATTGTTCCAGCCCTGCAGTGCTGGAACAAGACATATGCAAGAACTTCAGGAGATTTTCTTCTAAAGTATTGTCAGCCAAGACCAAAAGTACACATTCTCAATTCTCAAGTAATCTCAAGCACCTTGCAAGTAGCTCAACATGATATAAAAACATGCAGTCACCTGTGCTTCGCTTCTTAAAGTTCCATATTCTTAGTTCTCTCTACTCATCTTCCTGGATACACTTCTGCTCTCCTATTGCACAGGATGCTCAATCACTTTTTGCTCCCTTTACTGTTTCCCAGTCCAACTCTATCCACCTTGCCCACTTTTCTGAGATCTACCCATATTCCATTTCCTCCCTTAAGACAAAAGCTTGCACAGATACAAAAAAATTGTCCCTGGCTCCATGGGCAGAAGGAAGCTTTTGTTTTCCTGGGTCATTTCTTCAACCCATGTGGCTTTTCAGTCCCACCATGTCACCTTCAGACTCCATTCTCCCTGCCACTTACCAGCAGTTGGGCAGCTGCCTCTGCTGACAGCAGCCAAAACTGCAGTCCCAGCTGCTGAAGGTACCACATATCACCTATACTTATTTTAGCTGACAAGAAAGCATTATTTCCATTCCCTTGCTTCTTTTATCTTCAAGGGTACAAATGACACATTTCCAATTCCAATAGTGTGTATTTTATTTTAAAATATATCATATCACATTGCAAGGAGAGAGACAGAATTGCTGGTAATCTAACAAAGTCTTCAAGCTCAACAACTTGAGTCCAAGTTCATTATCAAACGTAGAGACTCCTTTATCTAAAAATGCAAGGTTACTCACTTCAAAACAATGTTTTGAAACTATCAACAAGGTAAGAGTCTTCTAGAGTATCCAAGATTCGCTACTGTTAAAAATACACATCAGATGCAACCCGCATTGCCTCAGAAGGGGTAGAGACTACCAAACTACTTCTGGTAATCTTCCCTTCACAATTCTCCTGTGAGGACCAACCACAAAACATTTCAGCATTGCAGTCCAAGTACCTACACTACCAGAGGATTGCTGAATGAATTGCCCATGTTTATCCAGAGACTGATGAGTGTATTTCTCCACTGAAAAGGCTTGGCTTCTTCAGAGGACCTTCCTGACAGGCAGATTTCTGGGAGGTCGATGTTATGTTGACCTCTCCTGTACTGTAGCCAGAAAAAGCAAACATAATGCTCTCATAAAAACTTTAAAGCTTATAAAAAATGAAAATATGTTTTAATGCCCTTTCCCCAAGTTGGGAACTTTAACATTCCCATCATCCCTCACCTCGCACTAATTAAGAAACATTTAGCCAATTCTGAAGAACTCAAAATGGTTACTGGAAAAAAATGTTTACAACCTTCTGTTATTTCAAAATTTCTCATTACCTTCAAAGTGACTTGCATAGGGACTGAAAGCGTGATCTCCAAACTGTTCTGTATTCTGTGGACAATACAGTGATCAGTATTACAAAATTCATGTACTGCCTCCAGCTTGATCCTGAACTGTAGACATTACAGGAATATCTACAGTTTGCTTTACATGTACATTAAATGCTCCTCTCTTATCTATTGTCATAAATTTTTCATAGGTATTGTTCCAAGGATGTGAACATAAAACTAAAGTATACAATGCAGCAACACTCGGCATTTTAAGCCATTTTCCTCTTGAGACTGTCTGGCTTAAACTTCATGTGCTGCAGTGAAAAAAGTGACAAGAGAGCCTCTTTAAAAGCAGTGGGAAGACAAATGAGATGTATGGTATTTATAAATAATAATAAATACTGAAAAAAAAAGAAAGCTTTTTTCTCCCAAAAGAAAATTATACTCAAAAGCCTTTTGAAGCATACTGATGGAGCAAAACAAAAACCCCTTTATTTTAGGACTTCGTTCTTCCAGAAGAATAAAATTATTTTTGTGCCCAAGGTCTCTTATTTCCTTTCCCACTTCCTTTTATTTAAACTGTATTAAACATACAGTGAT